CTAAATAATTAACTTAAACTACCGATTCACCAAAGGGGCAGTGAGTACTGGACAGTGCACTCAATCGTAAGTGGATGGTATCAGCTTGGGACCAGCTCAGAACCACAGCTTGAGCTCGTGTATATGCAACAATGTATTATTCTCATTAAACTTAAAAAAAAAAAAAAAAAAAATCATTAGTTGTACTTTGGCAATTCTTGCTTTACCTATATATATCTATATCTCGCCAAGATACAGCAGTCTTTGCTGAACAGCCCTTCCTCCCCCCCTCCCTTCTTTGTAGGCACTCTGCTTTCTCCTAATATTCTTTTAAGTTACTTATTCAGTAAGGTCTAGAGCAGGGGCAGAAACATCTGTGGGCAGAGTGCCAAACATACCTGCAACCTCACCTTGCAAGATGTTGACAAGTTGGAGGCAGACAGTGGGGAAGCCACAAGGGGCCCAATCCTTGTTGTGGCAGCACAGCCTCCTTCTCTGCCATCCATCCTGAAGCATACGTGCTAAGCAAAATGCTTTCATGTGCCACGCCCTGGTACCCATGCTAGGGTTTACCTACCCATACTGTAGAGCCCTTCCCTACAAGTTCCTAATCCTTGCTTGGCATACAAATTAAAAAAAAAAAAAAAAAAGGAATTTCTATAAGTCACAGGTATAATGACTCTCCAATTTGAGGATGCAGTCATGTACCTGAACCCCTCAGACATCAAAAAGATTTCACCAACTACTCTTGTTTTCAGTTTACCTTTTTCCAATTACAGACTCTCCCCATGCCTAAAGAAGGGTGTTTGTGCCCGAAAGCTTACAAAGAACATTTTTTCCAATGATTTAGTTGGTCTAATAAAAGATAATCACATTTACCCAAAGAACCTTGTCTACTTACAGACCTACTTTCAATTTTCTAATTTAAACTGAATCAAGTTTGTGATCATTTATTTTAAGGTTAATCTTTAATTGCAATTTTTATGGCAACTTCTCAGCAGCTATCAATGGATAGTATTTTGCAAGTAAAACAATGAATCAATTTCCTAGATGGAAAAAAAAAAATTTTTTTAAATCAGTTAGTTTAAGATCATCCCCGGTCACAGTAATGCTGATGATTATTGGGAGAGGAAACCTAATTAAGTCTTTTACCATTACAGTTGCTGGATACCTGACTTTCACTTGTAAGAGTATTTTACACTTCAAGATTTTACTAGATTCATCATTGCAACTGCATTTCAGAATAGCAACAGTAACAAAAAAGTGCCATTTTGCACCATCTTCAATTGTTCAACAGAGTAGACTTTCCACTTGTTACGACCAAGTCTTATTCAGTTATTCATAACCTGTATTTACTTAAAAGAGTGATTCTCAACCAAAAGAGCTACAGCACCCTGAAGTGTCAAGAGATCCTTTTAAGAGTATAAATACTGACACACCGTTCACAAGGTAAACCCAAAGACTTCAAATAGAAGTCTATAGTGTCAAAAAAAACATTCTGACATCTTGGAGTCCTTCTGAGTTTTTTGCAACAAAATTGCTTTATTTTTCCCCCCCACCCCCCCCATAGACAAGAGACAAGTGAAAGCAAAGAGGTGCCCCGTGTCTAACAAGATTGAGAATCACTGTTCTAGAATCAACACTACCAATTAACAGAACTTAACCTGAATGTCACTTGCAAGCCTTCACTAAGGCAGAGCAGAGCTGCACGGCCATTTGTTCAATGCTCAGCATTAGCCGTCAGTCCACTTTTTAATGAAAAATCAGCTCTCTCATTACTACGTATAAAAGACCTTACTGACCTAGGTACCTCTCATACCAAACCTGCCATGTCAGTTACATCATTCCAGTTGAATGAAGTTATCTAGCCTTATAGATGAATCACAAAAGAAATCAGAAGCATGGTATTTTTAGTAACAGACCTTTGCTCCTGGAATTTGCTCCCACTGAAAACAGATCTAATGCCAGAGCCTGCCAATTTCTTTCTTTGCCCAGACTTTTCATTAACTCAAGGTTCTGAAATTCTAGGTATTTAACTAAAAAGCCCCCCCAAACACCTTATTAACTGGGTTTTCCTAGTTAGTACCATTCAAAGCAGTGGCGTTGCATTAGATGGTTATGTAGTCATGTCCACTACATGGATGAATCATTCCTTACTTGAGAGAAAAGTGCACCAACATAATAACTCTTCTCTACCCCTTAATTTCCAGACCCCTCCCTGCCCCAGCTTGTGCTGCTGTAATTATGCTCCTGGAAAGGGTCAGGAAGCTGCTGTGGGGGGAAGCAGTCACTCAAAAAAAACCCAGGCTCTATATGAAAGTGAAGTCAGTAGTCACTTAATTTAAGTGACTTGGCACCATCTTCTACTGCAAGGATACTGGTTCTTCTTGCTAGACTTTCTACCTTAGATAAAGAATAGTCTGTATTTGTCCATCTGAAAACAGAAAAACTAAGTCTTTTGAACTTTAAACTGTTGGTCCTTCTCCTCTAAAACCTACCTCTACGAGTTCCCACCTACACACATGCTTTAGCTGACACCTTTCTGCTCATGACAAACGTCTCTAAATTTCTCTCCCCTTTCCATCTCGTGTGCCAGTTTGTCATTCTAACATCTTTTCCAGAAGATGCCCAGCTGTCACCTTAACCCAGGGGTGGGCAAAATGCAGCCCGGGGGCCAGATGTGGCTCACCAGGACATTCTATCCAGCCCACGGGGCCCCTAAAAAAATTTAGAAAATTAATATTAATCTGCCCTGGGCTGCCCATCATGCAGCCCTCAATGGCTTGCCAAAACTCAGTAAGTGGCCCTCTGCCCAAAATAATTGCCCACCCCTGCCATAACCTGAACACATCTAAAACCAAGCTCTTGGTGTTTTCCCAAAAGCCCTCCTCTCACCATCATACTGAACACCACCACTGTCACCTCACTTACTCAAGGTTGATTCTAGGTAACATCTTTGATTTGGTTCTCCATTGTTTGCACATATTGAGCGCGTCTTAAAGTTTTGCCCCTCTCCCCCATCTCTTTTAAAAAAATAAAATAAAAAATGGAGCTTCCCTTGTTGTGCAGGGCAAACTTCTTATCCACACCCTCCTCATTTCATGGCTTAATTACTCTTGCCTTCACTTTTCTGGTCTTGCTCCACTCAAGTCTGCTCACGTGCTGACCATACTCTTGCCCATTTGATACCGACTCAACCTTTATTTCCACAATAAATAAAATACTTCTCGTCTGTAACTCAAGTTCCTTCAAAACGAACTCCACCTTACCTAGCTGAACAAAGTAATAAGGAGTTCTCCTTTGCAGAGAAAAAAAAGCTTTATGATAAAAAAAAAAAAAAAAAAAATCTATATGGCTACCAGCCTACCCCTCTCTCGGCTTACCTCTAACCCACAAAATCAATGATGACATGCCTAGGCAAGTAACAAGCTGTAAGTATTCCCCTCCTCATCTTTCCTTTACCAGCTCCTTTCCTCAAGCTTCAATTATTAAAGACAAAATAAAACAAAATTTCAGAAGAGCTGTGTCAGCTCTTCAGCAGTGTCATTTGTTTATATGTTGTAGCCTCGTCCACTATCATTACACCTTTTTGTGCTTTTTAGTTCATGAGCCTTCCCAGACAAGGACTGTCTGTCTTTAATTACAACCCCTAGTACAGTGGGGCCCCCAACCCAGCCAGCAGCATTACCTTGACAAAAGCTAGAAACTTCTATTTAAGAGCACTGACAGGGATTGTTTGGATGAGGTATAAACTCATCAGCATGACTCAGATTTGTAATTTAAGGCAGTTTAGCTGGGGATACAGTTTCACAAGCAGTCCAAGAGATTTTTCTACCTTTTGTTTTTAAATATCACTCTATTCTGACCCTCAAAATAGTTTACAAAGAGTCCTTGAATATGACCTTTCATAGCACCTTTCCATTGGGACGCTTCACTTTCAACATGCGATATATACGCGAGAGAGAGAGAGAGAGAGAGACTTTTGATTTTTGTTCAGATTCTAATTACTCATGAGAAAACACTATTTTGTTCACTTAATGACTGCTTTAAGCAAAACTTACTTATAGAAATTGTTATACAGCCTATTTATTGAGTTAATATACAAGAGTTTCCCCAGTCCTTCTTCAAGCTCCCACCTCATTCCACATTCTTCATTAGCACTTGGCTGCATTAACTTTCTTACTCTAACATTATACACTATACTATATTATATCTTTATGCAAAAAGAAAAAAGGATTAGGGCTTGTTCTATAACAAATTTACAGGAACCTATCTGTAGACTGGACGCAGGTGTTTCCTCTTCATCCTATTCCCCATGTATCTACTATTTTAAAAGCCATTAAAACAAAAAATAAAGCTAAAAATGTAATTTAAAGCAGAATAAGGTGACATATTAGAAGTCAGTTTAAACTCACAGCACAAACTGTAATAGTATCTTCCTCATCATGCCTAGATATTAGGAAAACACTCACAGGTTTGTTCCAGAAAAATGTATAGTAATTTTAGTTAGCACATGCAAAACATGTGTTAGTTTAGGTATACTACAGTTAAGAGGTTTTAATAAACCCATGAACATTAATCAAGTTACATTATTTTACAAAAATAATTCCAGGTAAACAAGTGCTTAAAAAATAGCAGCCGCTGCAAAACACAAATTAATTTATCTTGAGCTATTTATGTCACTGACAAGTGCTGTTTACTTAAATTATATGGAAAAGCAGAATGAGGCATCTTAAGCTGCCTCTCTCTAAGCCTTTTATGTAACAGAGGATTCTGATCCTGCATCACCCTCTCTCGTCAGTACGCTAATTACAATTAAACATTTAGTAATGTAAGAAATATTGTTATTGAACTCAAGTATAGTGTTGTTAGTATTGTTACTAAAATCTAGTAGAACATACCCTTGATGCTAAAAAAAATTAACAAGTCACCTCCACTCTGCAGAAGCTTCAATTGGACTTCCAACAAAAGTCAGAATAGCTGTCAAATATAAAACATTTGTATTTAAAGAACAGACTCACCCGAGCTTGGCCCACCTTCCTCATAATCTTGTTCATTCATAATAAAGAAAAAGCTGCTGGCTCTTCAGGTATGAAGCAACAAAACAACAGGAAGCTGATAGTTGCCCCCTCTCCGTTTTATGCGAGACCTCAAATCCTGTGTCTCAGTAGTAGTGGATTAATCCCAAGGCAAGGCATCCAGGCTTCATGCAGTTTAAAGTATGCCTATGTCACAAAGCCAAGCTGCACTGCAGCTGCAGCTCTCTCCAAACACAGTTAAGCTGTAGGATCTTCAGTGACAAACATTATGCTCAGTGGAAAGGGCAGAGCCTAAACATTCAGTTTCTCCAAGTAGGAAGACAATCTGCCTCCAACTTCGTTTTCACCCCTAAAAATTCAATTTTAGGACACTTCTACTGAGCAAATGTCTATCTTTCTGTTTATGCGCAATGAGCAATGTTAATCCAGGGGCTAACATTTATGATAATAACTGATCCATAACATTATGTTTAAGAGCCATAGTAGCTAAAAATTATAGATATATAATACAGGCGCACACATTAAATTTGTTTTCTGTAACCAAGTTTTATATGGACATTAAACACTAAAAATTTAACAGTATTAGCCTCAAAAATGTTCTTTATGAATGCCAGTGTACTAGCATAAAAATAATAAGTTAAAAAACCCACAACTGCATGTTTTCACTTAATTTAACGTTGTTTAATTATTAAATATTAATTCTCCTTTGTGATTGCTATTTGTCTATTTGCAGGTTTTGTAAATTTTCCCTGTGAAGTCATTTTGCATGTATTAAATACTCAATAACATTAAGCAGCTTAGGACAGCCTGTTGTGATGTTATTACTTTGCACAGGTTAATTCCTACGGTCAAGTTAGACTGAAGTACTAAATCCAGTTCTTTTTATAAGACAAAAATTACCAGGAACTCCACATACAGTACAACAGTTCCACTGATAATAAAATTTACTTTGGAAGCTTTTAAGTAAATCTAAAGTTTCATTTACAAATCACCTTGAATATGCAACACCATGAAAATATGGTACATCTGAAGTTTGACAAAGCTGAAATCTAAGACAGCTGATAAGAATACATAAGAGTACAGCCAAAGAGACTCCACAGGGTAAAACAAAAGTCACTAACTACAATATAGATGCTAAATGATGCCTCTGAAAGCAGGAAAACTGAACCAGGCAGGTCATATGCCACACTTACACATGGAAAAACCTTGTTTGTAAGCCAAAAGGAAAAAGAAGAAAAAAAAAAAGGAAGTCAGCAATTTAACTGATCTGTTTTGTGCCTTTGCCTGGGAACTTTTGCATCAATTAGAAAACATATCCACTTTGTCATTTCCTTCTTTCTGAGCAACTCTAACTTGACACATATGGTTAAAGAAAAGTGAGAAAAAAATACATCTCAAATGTCTACCCTTCTGAGTCATACAAACATGAAGGAGGAACTTGGGTCACAGCATACCTGGGTGCCTCCATTTCACACTACAAAGTACACTGTAAAAGACAATACAAGTGTTACATTACAGCAGCATTTCAAATCCCTCTGGCATTGCCATGGCATGTGAATACCTACAGTAGGGCATATATTGGACTGAAATTCATTCAAGTGTTATACTCCAAAGAGCGAGGGGAAGATGGAGGCTGAACCCAGTTCAGTCTGACAAATCTCACACTCTTCCCAATACCTACATGAAAACATTTCCAGGTTTCATTGTCCAAATTGTCTTTGGAAGTTTACTAGAGTAGACTGCATCAGTTACAGTGCAAAAAGTTTTCATGGGAGCTATCAGAGAAAATGTTTGAGAGATGTCAGAAAAAAAAGTGTTAACTCTTTTACTAATGTGGGTTATCACAAAGCACTAACTTGACCTCCTATGCTCATTTTCCCCACAAAGTATCATCAAAATTCAGAGCTTCTGTCCTGCTCTCCAAGAGTGACTGGTGCCTAGACCAAGAAATCTAAATGCACTGCCTAAAAGCTCCCTGGTAAAGATCAGAACTGACAACCTGCCTCCTCAGGTATGCTGGAGCTCTGTACTTTAGGGCTGAGGTATACCTGGTGTGGGAGACTAAGCTTTCTTGGGAGCTGGGCTAAGAACATGGAATAAAACTTCTTTGGGAACAAAGATCATCACAAACCTCACCAACTATAAAATCCACTTCTATGATTTTGCCTCTCTCAAGTATTAGAAAGGTAGCAACATACACAAAAAGGAATCTTATCAAAACAAAAAATACCCCATAATTCAAGCAGCTCATGCCACAAAGAGACAGAAAGAGGGAGAGTAACAAGAAAGCCACATTACATGTGTCAGTCAGATCACCACACACACACACACACACACACACACACTACCAGAAGGTATTCTGACACCATAACGACGCGTGTCATACAAGATCCTGGAAAACAATGCAATTATGCTTCTTATACACCAAATATTTACAGTTCAGGAATTTAAGGGATAAAAGGTCAATTGCAGCTGAACAAACATTTTATTTACTCCAGATATTATGACTGAGGACTACGGTTCTCATAGGACCCCTACTTTTTATTTTATTCATACATACAATCAAGCAATTGGTTTCAGTGTATGCAAAGCATATGCAGAAACCTTCACACTGAGGGCAAGAGGA